TGAAAACGACACACAATTCGCACACACCACCCCTAGGGTACGCCTCACTGTTGCCTTGCCTTTCGAAAGGTGATCGTCGAGTAGAGGATGTCTTAGTAAGTCCTCATGATCCGGGAACCTGGCATGAGGGTATCTTCTAAGGTGTCTTCCCATTGCTCTGGTGATCACCATGTCCCTATAAACTCGAATTGACCCGAACACCTCCAACAGTGGTGCTACCTACCTCTCAATGGTGGGATGGCACTACTTTAAAGGACATTTACACAGACGAATTCCTTAGGGTAGGTAGGTTCTCAAGGATACTTGCTCTAATTTCAAACAAAACAAAAACTCTTTTCACACCAACACATTTTCAAAAGCTTTCAAAGCAAATCTTTCAAACACTCTGACGTACGAGTCGAACTGGAATTTTCAAAGAAACTTTTTAAAACCCACAGTTGAAAAGCAAGCAAACAATTTTGAAAACACATTGAGCAAGTATCTAAGAGCCCATGGATAACCATGGATAGAAAGGGTGATAACACCTTCCCTTTCTATAACCTACCTCCCGAACCGAGAGCAATCTCTTTAAGGAATTTTTCTGTGCTTTTGTCCTTTCCATTTGGAGAAAATAAAAGACGGTGGCGACTCTTGCTTCCGCGACATTTTCGCGAACCAGCGTTAAACAGTCAGTTCCAGATCCACCGATCACACCTACGTACCTTCAATGTGCAATAGAAAAATCAGAACCAAATAGTTCTTCTAAAAAAATAATAGTTATTTGTTTGATTGACTTTAAATGAAGAGTAATTTTGTCATCTTAAGGAGAATGCTCAACCAATCATCCATAAATATGATAAAGATGGACATTTGCATCACAATGAAAGAAGAGCTTCAACTTGGATAGAAATCAACAAGTATTCCACTAACTCTTTCAAGTGGAAAAGGATCAACACCATATCAATAAATATTATGGAGATATGAGAATTACATCTCAACTATAAAGATGACTTATATATAATATTTGAAAAAAGGTCTTAACATAAAAAGGTAAGTGGCAAAATATTTGAATGAGTTTTGTATTTTTTTAAGTCTTTTGAAAATGTTTTATATGCTTAAGATGTCTTAGAATTTATTAAAGAAAAGAAAGTTTTAAAAATTCACTTTACAAAGTCAAGGTTTATTAAGAAAGTGGTTCAAGTTTTAATAAAATAAAAAGGTTTTGAAAAAGGAAGAAGATTTTAAAAATTTAAGAAGATGGGCAAGAGATGAAAAGGACTATCCTAAAGCAAAAAGTAAGAGTAAAGGTAGAAAAGATCTTACCAAGATAGAGAAAACAACTTGACATAAGTCAAACCATGCATAAATTCCCTTTGGATGAAGCCACACACACAAGCAAGTAATCAGATGAACATCACAAGCATCAGATGAAAATTTAATGTCTCAAGTGTAAGCACAGCATTAGATGAATCACGGGGCACAAATTAATTCTCATGCATCAGATGAAAACTTTAAGTCACAGATGATAGTTCTTGCATCAGATAAACACACAGAAGAAAACAGACAGATAATATCCAATGATCAGATAAAACTCCAAAGGTCTTAGATAAAGGCGCCAAGGTCTCAGAGGGATCAAGTTATCAGATGAATTAAGGTCTCAAGTCACAAATCCAAAGCATAGAATCAAGAACCTAGATATAAGTCCATTTCCAAGCCAAGGGTAGTAACCATAGTCCAAGAAAATCATTAAGTATCTTAGGATTTGATATTTATTAATGTCTTTTGAAAAGAAAAAGAAAAAAAATGTCCAAGGGACAAAGAGAAAAAGATAATAAAAAATAAAAGGTGAATAAAATAAAATGACCTGAATGATAAAATGCTAAAAATAAATTGCATAAAGTAAATTGCAAGAATTTAAATGACATAAATGTAAAGGTGAAATAATTTAAATGGCATTAAAGTAAAGTTGGTACAATGATAATGTTAGTAATTAGTGTTCAAATTCTGGACAATTTGACACTATGTTAAGCAATCGTAAGTGAACTAATATAGAAGTTGATCTTATCTGAGGTCGGACCAAAATACGTAGATGTATTGCATATAATGAAAACCATGGTTTAAAAGCAAGGGTGATCAAGAGCTAAGTCAAGGAGATTGGTCCATTACATCAATCATTCTTTATGATAACTTAGGACAAACATATCACCAATCCAAAGTACCTCAAATGATCAATGATTAATTGAAAGGTAGATTTGGAATGATAAAGTTCATAAAGTACCAATCCAAACTTCATGAACAAGATGAATTCTAAATCATCCAATTGATAAAAACATAATAAATAGATGAAGAAAGATGAACATTGAAAGTAAATTCCAAATTGGATCAAAGTATTGATCAAGTTATCATCAAAATCAAACATGCATTTTGATAGATTAGGGTCTTTACACCATCAACACCAAGATCCAATGATGTTGATGAAACTCATGACCAAATAAGCCATGATCCTAGGCCAACAACAGTCAACACAAGTCAAACAAATATAAAATGAAATAAAGCAAATAAAAAATGCATGAAAAGGATTTTTAAATTAACTTATAATTGGAAATAAAAGAGAAAATAACAAAATGGTATCAAAATATCAAATAAATAGGAAATAAAACCATAGAGAAATAAAAAATGACTCAAACTATTTTTTAGAATTTTTTGGATATTTTTTAAATACGAAAAGAATTTTTAAACCAATTAAAACAAGGAAATAATGAGAAAATTAAAAGAGAATAGTAAAAATGAAAATAAAAATCTCAAAAAATTACTCAAAGTATAAAATCTAAGTATGAAATGCACCCAAGAGGGGGGTGAATTAGGTACTTAAAACTTTATTGGTTTTTAGATGATACTTGGATTGTTTTTCTGGTTTATGGTGAGTTAATGAAAGTAGTAGAGTGCAGAAAAATAAATGACACAAGGATATATCCGGGTTCCCCTCAAAGTTTGAGAGTACTCCAGTCTGTTTATAATATATAAGAGATTTTATTATTGTTTGGAACTTCTACAAGACCAACACAAACACCAAGAACAATCCTCTTAGATTTTCACTAAGTCCACTAAGAGAACAATTCTCTCAAAGTGACTTCTCTTGCTTCCAACAATCCTTAACAACAAGGTTACAACAAGTAATTTGAATTTCTATAAGAGTTTAGAATGATGTAAATATTGTATCAATCACTTGATTGATCTTCCCTTTCAAGCAAACAACTTTCTCAGTGATATACTACAAGTGTTCAATGGATGATATGAAATTTTTGTTAATTTTTCAAAGAAAACTAAGTGCAAAAAATTTCACTTGAAAATTCAGATTTTTGACACTTGAATTTTGAAAGATGAGATGATTTCAAATTGTAAGAGTTTTTGATGAAAAAGGTGTTTTGAAATCTTAAATAATAGATTTTTTATATCCTCTATACACCTTTACAAAAGTGCATAATCAATGAAAGAATGAAATGGTTAATTCCCAAAAGACACAAAAACTTTAAATGCACAGTTTCAGAATTTTGGCTTTGTCCAATTGGATAACCGGTTACTGCATATTGGATACCCAGTTACCTACTGTAACGGTACATAAAAATGTGAATTTTTTCAGGTGTAACTAGTTACTGCATATTGGGTACCCGGTTACACCCTTTTGAGAAAGCATGGGAACGCTAGATAAACAAAGGGAAACTGGTTACAGTAGGAAGGGTAATTGATTCCCTGCAGCCTAGAATTTTAAAAACACTTCAAAAATTATTTGAAACTTATTTTTTATCACCCAAAACATGTTCAATGATTATGCAAAATATGAACCTATCATTATGAACACTTGTATGTATATTTTGAGAGTTGAATGTTATACCTTTATAATCAATCAAATGGTAGAATTTATTCAAGACTTGAATAATTCTTTAAACTTGATATGCTAGATGTCTTGAGATAACCCATTTTGAACATCTTCTATGTTAGCTTGTCTTCATCAAAACAAGTTGGGAAGCTTGACTTCATGTTCTCCCCTTTTTGATGATGACAACCCTTTCTTGAAATTTGATTCAATCTTGTATTTATCTAATCTTTAAAACTCCCCCTAAATCAAAGCTCCCCCTTATTCTTGAATGAGGGTCCATTTTAAATTTGCTTGCTACAATTTTGTTAGAGAAATATACAAACATTCATATACTTAAGTCTTCTCCCCCTTTGTCATTAGCAAAAAGGAATGGAGAAAGAAGTTGAAAATGAGAAAACATGATGTATGTAAATAGTTCGAACACAAACTTAAACACAAAACAAACACAACACATAATTTAACCACAATACATCATAATGCATAATTTAATCACAATACAAGTTACACACTAATGTCTTACAACACACAAAGTGAAACATAACGTAACATTATTCGAAATAAAATAGGCATCAAAAGAAAATACTTGAAATTGAGAAAACATAATTGCATAAGAAATAGAAATAAAAATTTTATCCTTTTTTCGACATGTCCTCTGCTTCATCTTTATCATCTGCACAACTTCCTTCTTGACTCTCACCACTTTCTTCTTCTTCCTCTTCTTCTTCTTCACCACTCTCTTGAGTTTCCTCTTGAACATTTTTTTCCGGGTTTGCTTAAGAAGAGTTCTCATCATCCTTTTCAAAGAAGTAAATTCAAATTTATTCTCTTGGTGATGACGCTTCATAGTTTCTTCAACGGAGAAAATCTTGTTGTAAGTCATTTCATGTGAATATCCGTCAGCCGGAATTGGAGGAGGACGATAAGCAGCCCGGAACTGAAATTTTCCATCTTGGCCCAAAATAATACTTGTATTCCTAAAAGAATTTTTACCATTTATCTCATAATCTTTCACATCCATGTCCTCATGTGGTTCTCTTTTCATATCGATATTACAATGTTGGAGAATTTTAGTGATCAACCGAGCATAAGGTAAACCACCACTTAACTATTGAAGATGGTTCATGTGATACATGATAATATACGCCTAATTAATAGGAATCTTATTTTTCAAGTCATACAAGCAAATATCGACATTTTTTACTCTAGAAGTTATCACATCATCTTCACCATCATTTTGACTCAGAATAAGGTTAAAGTTCAGATAAAATTTCCGAACCATATTCGGGTAGATATACCCATGGTCACCAACTAAACCATATAATTTTTGAAGACTTAACATATTTGGGAAATCAAAGCTATGAGAAGGGAAAGATAGTAAATTACTGTATTTTACCGCTAAAAGTGATCGAGTTCTAATGTTGATGGTGATACTTCTAGCCTTTGTTGATGGTGCATGCAAGAGGTTTTCATCTTGTTCGTAGCTTATTTCACCTATTTTTCTCTCTCCCTTAAGTTTCCTTGAAGCCATGAATGAAGTTGTGGAGAAAATGAGAGTTAGGGTTTAGAAAGGGAATTTTCGGATTTAGAGAGAGAAGGTGGTTTTTGTGACTTTTGATTTGAGATAAGGGATGGTTATAATGAAGTTTGGATGAGTGGATTTTAATTTGGGTGGAAGAGAATTGAATGGGAGAAGTTGGAAGGAGTTTGTAGAAGTTGGAAGGAATAGATGAAGAGTATATTAGAAAGTGACAAACTTTTATTTGACTTAAAGAGAAAACACTTATGTTTAAGAAAAATAAGATAACTAAAGAAAATATAACAACTGAAACATAAAAAAATCCTGCGTACAGCCAAAAATACCAGTGGGAATCAGTTACAGCAGGGAGAGTAACGGGTTCCCTCCTCACATCAAAGCCAACGAATTGAAAATTTTGAGAGGGTAACCGATTACCCTATATGTGGTACCCGGTTACCGAAAGTTGGCAGAGAACAGTAACTTGATTTCTCAAAAAATGCATGATATTTTTATAATTTTTTAACTTGACATGTTATATTATATTATGATGCAACTTTGGAATGGGAAAACATGTCATGAAAAATAATTTAACTCATCTAAAATCAAGATAAGCAATTTTTTTCACATAATACACATTTTGAAAAAAAATTGCAACATTGAAAAGATTAAAAACTTGTGTAGCTTGGATTCATTATTGATAATAATGAACAAATATTAAAGAGTTACACATCACCTTCGTCTAAAATGCTAAGTTCCCTTCGAATCTGGTAAAAAGGTTCTTTTGCAAGCGGTTTAATGAAAGTATCTACTAATTGATTATGAGTATCTGCGAAGGTGACTTCAACATCTCCTTGAAGCACATGATCATGAAGGAAATGATGTTGTATGTTAATGTGTTTGATTCTTGAGTGCATGACCGAATTCTTTGTAATATTGATCATACTTATGTTATCACAACATACAGGAATGCATCCATGATCGAGTCCATAGTCACAAAGTTGTTGCTTAAGTCAAAGAAATTATGCACAACAACTACCCACTGCTATATATTCTACTTCGGCTGTGCTAAGAGCAACACATGCTTGTTTCTTGCAAGCCAGGGATACTAATGCATTTCCAAAGATGTGACAAGTACCACTCGTTCTTTTTCTATCAGTTTTACAACATGCATAGTCCGTGTTAGAATAACCAATTAAATTGCAAACACTACCTTTTGGATACCATAAGCCGACATTTGTTATTCCTTTAAGATACTTTATGATCCGCTTTAACTCCATGAGATATGATTCCTTTTGGTTTTCTTGAAAGCAAGCATAAAGACAAACACTAAACATTATGTCAGGACGACTTTCTGTCAAATATAATAAGAAACCAATCATACCTCAATATTTTGTGATACTAATGAAACACCAGATTCATCTTGATCAACACAAGTACCGGAGCCCTTTGGTGTATTCATTACTTTGCAATTATCCATATCAAAATTTTTCAATAATTCTTTGCAATACTTGGACTGGTTGATGAAGATGCCATCCTTTAGTTGCTTAATTTAAAGTCCAAGGAAAAGTTCATCTTTCCCATCATAGACATCTCGAGTTCTCCTTGCATCATCAATGAAAATTCTTCACACATTTCTTTCTTTGTTGAACTGAAGATGATATCGTCAATGTAGACTTGAACCAATAAAGTGTTACCTTGGATTTTCTTAATAAACAAGGTCTTATCAACTTTGCCTTTTTCAAATCCTTTTTCACATAGAAAATTACTAAGTCTATCATACCATGCTCTTGGTGCTTGTTTCAAACCATAAAGAGATTTTATCAACTTAAATACATGTGAAGGATTCTTGAAGTTTTCAAATCCCAGGGGTTTTTTGACATAGACTTCTTCATTAATGTAGTCATTCAAGAATGCGCTTTTGACATCCATTTGGTAAAGCTGAAAATTTAATGAACAAGCATAAGCAAGTAAAAGATGAATAGCTTCTAACCTTGCAGTTGGAGAAAAAGTTTATTCAAAATCAATTCCTTCTTGATTGTAACCTTGAGCCACAAACCTTGCTTTGTTTCGAACAATTATACAGTTTTCGTCAAGTTTGTTCTTAAACACCAATCTTGTTCCTATGATGTGTTTATTTATTGGCCTAGGGACAAGTTCCCAAACTTGATTTATTTCAAATTGGTTTAACTCTTCTTGCATAGAAATTATCCATTGGTCGCCCCCTAAGGCCTCATTAACTTTGCAAGGTTCAATTTGAGAGATAAACGCCATGTTCAAGAAAGCATCTTTTAGATTTAGTCTTGTTGAAACTCCTTTGATTATATCACCAATTACTTTTTCAATTGGATGATCATGATGGGTTATCCATTCTTGAGGTAGATCATTATGATTTGTAACTTGTTATGAAATTTCTTCTTATTGTTCCGGTTGGTCCTTGTTGATATCTTTGGAAGTATTTTCTTAAGGGACTTCTACTATATCATCATCATTATCATCACAAACAACAGTATCCTCCTTGGAGGGGTTAGATTCATCAAAAGATACATGCATTTATTCTTTAATTGTTAAATTTCTTTTGTTATAAATTCTATAAGCTTTACTAGATAGAGAATACCCAAGAAAAATACCTTCGTTGGGTTTCTCGTCAAACTTACCCAGATTGTATTTGTCATTGTTCAAGACAAATAATTTTCATCCAAATATGTGAAAGTAAGCAATGTTTGGTTTCCTTCCTTTGAAGAGTTCATACAGAGTCTTTTTCAAAATAGGTCTAATATTAACTCTATTACTTACAAAACATGTCGTGCTCACCGCATCCACCCAAAAGTACTTTGGAAGATTTGAATCACTAAGCATTGTTCTTGAAAGTTACACAAGAGACCTATTCTTTCTTTCCATCACTCCATTTTGTTGAGGAGTCCTTGGTGCCTAGAAATCATGAGAGATTCCATGTTCTCCACAAAATTCTTTAAAAGAGGCATTTTGGAATTCTCCACCATGATCACTTCTTATGGAGGCAATAGTTAGTGACATCTCATTTTTAATTTGCTTTGCATATTTCTTGAATTCCTTGAAAGCATCACTTTTCTATACAAAAGAGAATGTCTAAGTGTATCTATAGAAATCGTCAACAATAACTAAAGCATATACATTACCTCTGAAGCTTCTTGTTCTTTATGGACCAAATAAATCCATATGCAACAATTGTAGTGGCCTTGTAGTGGACACCATATTATTATATTTTAAAGTTGATTTGGTTTGTTTCCCCTTTTGGCAGGCATCACAAAGTCTATCTTTGACAAATTTTATCTTAGGCAATCCAATGATAAGATCATGCTTGATTAGTTTATTCAAATGTTCCATATGAGTATGAGCCATTCTTTTGTGCCAAAGCCATGAGTCATTGTTGTTTGACATGATAAATTTTACCTTCAAAGATAAATCATCAAGGGAAATCATAAATATATTATTAACTATTTTACCTTTAAGTTTAACCTAATGTGGGACTTCATCTTATATCAAACATTCATCTTTGGAGATATCAAACATTCATCTTTCCTTTGTTGTTATCTCCAAAAGTAACATAACCCTTGGCCTTAAGCACTATATTTTAAAACTTGTTGATTTATCCCGTCATATGCTTGGAACAACCACTATCGAGATACCATAAATTTGATATGGTTTCAAGCATACCTACAAAACAAATTAAGTTTTGTTAGGTACCCAAATTTCTTTGGGTCCTTCATAATTAATAACTTTATTTACCCACACATAATGCCCACTTGCCACACTAAAGTTTCTAACATAGCAAGCATTAGGTGTATGGCCTACAATACCATAATAAAAGCAAGTAGGTTCAAAATTACTTCTATATCTAGGAGGATAAGATTTATTCTTAAAAAATATTTTCTTCTTAGGATAATGATGAACCACTTTAGGCTTGTTCACTTTCTCTTGAGTTGTTTAGTCACTATCTTTAACAAAGATAGTTTTGTTGGAACTTGGCTTTGAAAGCTTTGAATAACCAAGTCCACTTTTATCGTTGGAGTATTTTTGTTGACTAAGGACACTTTCCAACCCAATTTGTCCTTTTTCATATCTTTCAAGAACTCTCTTTAACTGGACAATTAGAAAAGAAAGTGATTCACAATTATTGCATACAAAATTATGTTTTTATTCATTAATAAATTTTTCTTTTCATCCTTGAAATCATTTTCCATTTTCTCAACTTTTTCTTCTAAAGATGAAATGTGTTTCTTTTGAGATGAAATAGTTTTGTACATAATTTTGCATTCATTTAAGAGTTCATCTATTGCACATTGTGCATCATTATCATAAAGATAAAAATCATTACTAACATCATTATCTTCATCATCAGAATGGTGTGAAGCCATCAAGGCTGTATTTTCACTTTCGTAATTATCCAAATCGGATGAAGAACTTATCTCATTATCTTCCCATGCAACATAATCATTTTTATTCTTAAACTCCTTTTTGCCTTTAAATCCATTTTTCTTGGGGAGTTTCAGACAATCCGACTTTATGTGACCTTGCTTACCACATTCATAACATGTGACATCTTGTGTTGAAGTGGAAGCCTATTTTTTCCTAAAATGCTTCTTTATTTTTGCATAAGAAGTATATTTTTCATTATTACCAAAAAACTTACCAAGCCTTTTCACAAGATGCATGAAGTTTTCATGTTCTTCATATGCATTATTATCTTAAATTTCTTTTGAATCTACTTACAAAGTTATTCCTTTGGATTTCTTCTCTTGATTTTCATGCTTCTCAAGTCTTCCAAGTTCCGTCTCATATTCTTGAAGTTTTCCAAACAATGTTGCAGGAGTCATTCTTGATAGAATTTTCTTCTCGGATATTATCGTCACTTTTGGTTGCCATTCCCTCGTTAAAAATCTAAGAACTTTAAAATTAAGTTCTTCGGTAGTAAGAGTCTTACCAAGTTCTTTTAGATGATTTGTCAGATGCACAAATCTTTTCTGTAAGTCAAG